TTCCCGCGTACCAAGCATGGAATTCATATTCAAGTTGTAGCTACAGTAAACTAACAGCCTTGGTATTCATCACTATTATTCACATTTAAATCTTCTGCCACACTGATGCTCTGTTCCTCTGGCATCGCTATAATTTCTGGGTCTCTTTCTCTTCAGCCGGCCCCACGCTGCGTAAGCCTGCAGCCCTTTCAGTGCACTTCCTCCTTCTCTCAGGATTTCAGTGCAGGTGGTCTGTGAGACTGCTCTACCGCCTCTAGTCCCCATTTTCACACGTAATGATCCCCTTCCTGCAGTCCTCTGGGTTCCTCCTGCCAGCTATAATGTCCTGCTGCAGCTTTCCGTTGTCAGGGACCTTCCCTAATTGGTCACTCGGTTTGTGCAGGACCCCGGTCCTAGTTTCTCTGTAGCGAGGAGCTCCATCTCCATCATGAGTGTCTGCCCTGTCACAGCAGAGTGATAATTCAAAGAGAGAAATGTGATTGTGTGTGTGCATGCTGGTGTATTGCTGCTTGTTGCAACAACAGCTGTGTCGACTTCCCGTCTCTTTCTGCTTTCTTTGTGCCGTTTTTCAACAACTCAGTGGTTTCAACATCTTCAGCCTTCATTTATTTAGTGAAATTGATGAATAACTACAGATACTTTGTGTTCATGCATATGCCAGAATCTCCATAAAAGTTTCAGAAAGTCTAGGAAAGTTAAGTTTGTGAAGAGTGTGTGAAAGTTAAAGCAGTGATCACACAAACTATATTTGGAAGAAGTGGTATAAAAGAAGAGGCCAAGAGGAGCTGCTAGTTACAGCAGTTCGTTTTTTTAAGCTATGGAATGTGTTTGTTCTTCTCTGAGAGTGCGGAAAGGTTTGAGCATTACATTCACCGCTTAGAAAGTTTATTTCATGTCTCTTTTTATGACTGGCACCTAAAATTTTTACCAAAATACAGGGAAGGTTGAACTAGACCCGAATTGAATACCTAAAGAAAAGGATGCTCTGAACTCATCATACAAGCTGCTTAGGTCGGTTAATCATAAAAAGCTTTTTTTTCTGTGTTCATGCAAGGCTGGGCATATTGTTTCTTTTATGTTAAAAGAGATAAAAAGCCTATTTTGGGCTCCCTTTCATAAGCTTTTCACTCAGCCCATACCTTGGTCATGAAATAGTATAATTACTGTCGTCTCCAGAAAAAAAAGGCGTCCTTTCGGTAACCTTTGTCTGTGGTTATACACGTGACCATAGTTGATTCTGAATTTCTGCTCACTACTCTTGAGTGAAATGGAAAACCTGAGACATTTTAGTTTGCCAGATTGTTCTTCAGGGTTATTGTGTTAACTTTTTCTTGATAGCCAAGTATTAGGGACTCATTTCATAGTCTCCTTTGTGTATAGAGAAAGCACCTGCCTGGATGTCACTGTCACTGAGTCAGCTTTGCAGGGTTTTCAGCTCACAGACTCAATTTCACCTCAAGCACAGTATTATGTTCTGTGAGTCAGATAATGTGCATTTACTTTTCACACATAAAACTTATCCATGCTAATAATCTTACACTCACCAGGTTAATTGCTGAGATCTGGGAACACAGATTTAAGCAATTAACGTGTGGCACACACGCTACAGGAAGTGTGAGCAGGTTAATGTTAATGTGAAATAGCATAGAATAATAGCATAAATACAGATGACGTTAGACTGAAATTTTCCTTTAAATTTATTCATGTAAATTTATAAACATTATAGGACGACGGCCGGAGAAAGGATTTTTAAGTTATAGTCGAATTTTTCGTGTGAGTGTGTCAGGGGTTCGGCTTCAACGCAGGCTGTGTTTCACAATGAAGGTGACAGGTGGGCTTTGGCACTACTCACATCACTGAGATGGCACATAAAGACAGAGACAGATAACCACACATGCAGGTATAGAGCAGCAGCTGTTTCTCCCTCCATATCTTTTCGCTGTCTGGCGGGCTCTTTCTCCTCTCTGCTCCCTCCATCTCCTCATAGCCTCCCCTCATTTCAGTTATCTGATGGTAACGACTGACACATCTGTGTTTTAAACCCGGGTTTGTGGAGATTACAGCGTGGCACACCTACTGTCACTAAGGATCAAGACGTCAGCTAACACAGTCCTTGTTTAGATCGGGTGCTTGGAAGCTGCCATTCATGTTTCTTCTGTTCAGTTCTTGCTCTTGCTGTTCCATAGTGTTGTACCAGTTTTGTACTTGGTAATCTAAATGGTTATACTGGTGTGTAAAACCAAAAGGCTGTAATGGCTGATCTGTGCTGGTTTTGATCAGAATTCACATAAAACTCGTATTTTGAAACATTAAATCAAATTATAGATAAAGTTGTTACATAGTTGTTATATTCTTTTATATAACATACAGTGCTTAAGAAATGTATTAGACCACTACATAGTGAAAGGGTTATACCGCATCTGCCATAAATTCAGACTTTATAATTGGTAAACATATTTTTTTTTATCTTTTTGTAATGGCTAATTTACTGCTATTTTACACTAAACTCTTTAATCAAAATTATTTTTCTAATGTTTAAGTATAATTATTGTTTTTTCCAAAGCAGATTAAACTAGCAAAGCCCCTATTTTTTAATTAAGATGCTGAACCCAAGTTATTTACTTGCTTGATGTTGTGCTTGATTAATTTCTGAGAGAAGTCAAGTGTTTTGACTCAAATTTGGACAGAAAAATGTAAAATAAATAAATAATAATAAATAGATGAATAAATTTTTTGAAACGGGTGTCTTTTTTAGCAGTGGTCTGAGGATTTGATTACTGCATGTATGAAGTTTGGGTGTGCTAATGGTGAAAGAGGAAAATAATAACACAAACTAAATTTATTATTGATTTAAATTAACTATACATGCTATCAATACACAGAGACTAATCAACGGAGTGTACTGTACATTTAGCTATGGAATATGTAAAGCTGAAATGTTAAATGTAATCAAAAAAAATCAAAACAGACAAACAAGAGAATAGATGCTAACTGGCTTAAATAGGGGAAAAGCATTCCCGTCTGTGTGTATAGCATCGATTGCTAGACAAGGAGGGGTGGGCAATTCATTTTCCCAAGGGGCTAAATGAGAAATTGGGATTGTTGTGGAGGGACCAATAACCTTATAAAGAGATTTAAAAAATTAATAAATAAAAATATTGAGCAGAACTGAGAACCTTAGCCTTGTGTACAAATAGCCTGAAAAGGTATTTCTGCAGTAGTCAAGAAGTACGCGCAATAGTTAGCATAACTAACATGAAACACAAATTACAGCCTTTTAAAAAAAATTATAGATTTGCACATGTTTAGGCAGACAAGTAAAGAGTTGACTAAAGTGAACAAAGAGTAGAAATAGGCTATCAGAAGATAATCATGACTGAAGAGGTGGTTGAGCTTTGAAATGGCTAGCTAAAAGTTTGGCTAACAGTTGAAATTGTAAGCTAACAGCATGCGTAGCTGAACCTTACTGTCAGCTAGATGTAATGAGAACACAGTTAAAAGAGTTAATAAAACTGATCAATTGAAAGTCAGAAAACATAATAAAAATATGAAAAGACAAAATTATTATGCATAGCTGGTAAACGGATTAAAATTCACTGTTAAAGCTCAGTTTGTAGTTGATAAATGGGTTCTTGGGCTTTTGGGCTGTTTTTGGTGAAACATTTAGGAACCACTGTTTTATATAGTTTGCTGGCTGGCATGAAAAACCCTTCAATCTCCACACTCCTTCTGCTGCCTTTATAGAGCAGCACTGTGTCATGGTAATCTCCCAGGGTTCATTCAAAGCCATTTTCAAGCGTACTGATTTGATACAAGTAGTTACCATAATTCTTTCAAACGGCAAAAGTAAATAGCTCGTCTCTAACTGAACAGAAGGTGTATTGAACTGAATAGCAGGGAAAGGATGTGTGGGTCTCATCGCTCATCATAAGCTCTACACTTTCCACAGGGATGATGAGCATGCCCTGATCCTTCAGTACTGCCAAACACTGGGAGGGGAGGCCTCTCCTTGCAGCCAGCCTCAGAGTCCTGCCCAAATCTTACAGGCTGTGGAGAAGGAAGAGCGCGGCGAATTGGAGAAGATCATAGCACGTCTGGAGGAGGAGCAGAGGTAGGAGACAAACATCAAAACTGGCTAATCTTATTAAAATTGATAATCATGTCTTTGCTGATAGTGATTACAAGCTATTGATTAATTTTATGAAAAGTGACATTCTCAAAATGCATAAAAATGGGGTTATTCTGGTTGCCTTTGTTACGCTAAGTGTTTATTGACAGCTTCTTCTTTCAAGTACACGTGTACGCTCGAGTCACACTACAGACACTTACCGTACCACCAGTGCATCTCCCCCGCCAGCTCCTTCCCCGTTTTGATTTCTAAATGGAGTTGGTATAGACACAGAGTGACTGCGCAATCTATTGTTGTCGAGATGCTTTTTCCAGCATCTCGACTGGAGTGATTTAACACTGATTACTTACACACACACACACAGGCAGAGGGGAGCGGGTGAGAGCTTTACAGCCGGTCTCATAAATGCCAACTTAAGTAAAGTACTGCAGCTTATAGTTCTGCACTGAGAGGGTGAGGAGGAAGTGAGGCGAGAGATTTGGTAGGGGGCGTTATGTTTGGTTATCCACTGTGGATAGGATTTCACACAGATTGAAGAGGTAAACACGAGTGTGGTGTTTTGTGTGGCGTCCCGCTGTGGAGGTTCAGAACTGGCTTTTTGAATGTTTTAAGAATATTAAAACATTATATATTTACACAGGAAACACCAGGCAGAAGAACATATTCCCGTTATTTGTCCAATTTCCCAGCTGTTCAGCTGCCACAGATTGTGTGTCAATTTCACATTCATCCATGTGTATGGAAACATTTCTTGTTTCTTCACTTATTTGCTCTCAATTTTTCTTCAGGACACTGCAGAGGGAGTATGAGCAACTTAAGGAGCAACATGGACAGCGAGGCACGCCTACAGGAAGCCCCTGGGAGACGGAGAGCCCCTCCGCCCACCCCGATGAGGCAGATCTTTTAGCTGAAGCCAGGCTGCTACGACAACACAAAGGCCGGCTGGAGACCCGCATGCACATCTTGGAGGAACACAACAAACAGCTGGAATCTCAGCTTCATCGCCTCCGACAGCTACTGCACCAGGTGACGTATCATGTACACATTTTATCCCCGACTTGGGGTTATGTTTTGTTCCCGTTACCGACTGTAGTTTTGGTGCTTTGCAGTCAGAAAACATGCAGTTTCTCTGAAAATAATTTAAAACCTGAAGTAACATTGTTATTGTTAATACAGCCAGTTCATAGAGCAGATGATTACTGTCTGATGGCTAGTAGGACCAATTTGCAGCAGAGTAGAGGAATTATGGCTTTCTCCTTTGAGTACAGCACATACACAACTGCGATATAAAGTTTATTTTCCACATTAGCTTCCTTTCCGTTCAGTTCATTAGGCTTGTTGTTGAGGAGCAGCAGGGCAGTAATCACGGTTCACAGACTCACTCACGCACACCAGCTGGCAGGGCTGTTTCAGACGGCTCAGGAAAAAAATAATTTAAGCAGACGTAAAAGTAAAACGCTGATACAGAAAGCTTCCAGTAAATTAAAGGGATTCGTTCAAAGTCTAGCTCCATCATGAGCTTGCAGTTATTAATCCCGAAATCCACATGATAACCCACTTTTATCACAATTTTTAAAAAACTGCTCATCATCATTCAGATTAGATCCTAATCACATCATTTCCATTCCACCCAGCATCCATCTCCGATCTCTGTATTAATAACTTCCAGATTTGTTTATACCCGGCCTAATTGCTCACTGAGGTTGGATTGTTTGTGCCAAGTGAGAAATTCACAAGCCTCAAGCCAAACAAGCAGCAATCCTGACAAAGCAAACTGAGGCAGAGCAGGTATTGGCTCTCTGGAAGCTGAGAAGCTGTGAGCATGGGCAATAACTCATAACAACAGGCGGCAGCTGACGTGACTCAGCAGATATTTAATGGCAGATGATTAACATTTGGACAGAAATAGTTTTAGTATTGCACTCTCACTAAATTTAAAGTTGTCCTTCAGCAGAAGTACAGTAGATAAAATAAAATATTAAATAGCTGTTAGGACACTGATTTCTACTTTCTCTTAGAATACAGTTAATGATACAAGGTTGCCAGATACTGGTAGTGTTATTAGGACATACAGACACTATAACCCACATTCGCTCATTGATTCGATTTGTCAATTTTAACTCTACAAGCATTATTTTACCACCAGATTGTAGGAAATGTTTGTTTGTTTTTTAATCTGTAGTATTTAAGTGAAAGGAGTGATATCTGGGTGGCCCGTTATAATTTGATCAAGGAAAAACTAGAAATAAGCACCATTTTTATGTAGCTTCCATGACCATGTTTTTAAAAGTAAAATCACAAAAACAAAATGCAGATCTGTTAGTGAACTTTTTGGGGTGCTCGTGCTTTTTAAAGCTGGTGAATATGAGCCGCGGTTTGCAGAATGAAAGCAATTTTTTTTTTTGAGAGGAGCGCCAGGCCCATTTCAGATAAATTTTGAGTTGTTATATTCAGTCACACGGAATGCCATCGCCATGGTAACTAACAGCTTAACTGGTACAGGTGGATGCAGTTGACAGTTTATGACTTATGATGGATTTGAAATTCGGAATCTCTGATTGGTGGATTTTTTCTCACTTTCTTGACATCAAGTGTGGGAAACAAGATGTATATGTAGGGTTTTTTTTTCCAGTCAGTCATCTAAAACGAGCTAACGTCATACTGCGGTTTGAAGGCAGTTTGAAGTATTTTGGCTGTCATTCACAATTTAAAGCTGCCCCTCTCATCGTCCGTCTCACACACAATGTTAGATAAGAGTCCTACACCCTGACAGTGGCAGTGACCTGCACGGGTTTGTCAGATTTTCTAAATAAAAGTCCTTAGTTTCTAAATGGAAGACCAGTATGCTTTAAATTCAGTGTGTTTTCTTAATAAATAAAAGGTTAAATGTGTTATTATTAATCTGTCAATGAGAACAAAAGCACCAGAATAGTTGCAGGAATTGAACAGGATTCTTTAAAAATTTCATTATGGCTTCAGTCATTTATCGGATGTTATTAAGGTGCTTTAATGCTGTGAAATTTTAAAAATAAAAGCTCCCAATTTATATTTATAACCTGAAGAGAATGCTTAAAAAATTTCATAATTAAAAAAAATGCATCAGTTATAGTTTGCCAGCATCCTTAAGGTGCCACATTTCCAAAATAAAAGCCTCACATTTAGTGTTTTTCCCCCTAACTTTATGATACAGGTATCAAAAGCAATCTCCCTTCAGCTTCATTAGCTCACCAAATCACTTCGAATCTTTTAGCAACATGCCACAGAGCAACTAGCAGCAGCACCACTTTCACTGCAGTGTTTTCAGTGTTTTTTCTTTTGTAGGGTCTTTAACTTACAATTCAAAGCACCTTGTGGAGACTTTTTTTGTAATTTGGCACTGTATTAAATAAAACAGAATTGGGGGAAAAAAATAAAATTGAAGTTTAACTGAATATTTTATGACTTCCCATGGTGTCCAATTAATAATGGCAAACCGAAAGTCATTTGGCAATTCTCATCCCTATACTACACACAGAACTAAAGAAGTAAAGCGAATCAGGGACTGTGTCGCTCATTTTTAATTTGAATGCTAAAACGTTTGCTATAACTGTCAAATTATAGCGATGAGGAAGTAAAATCTCAAAGTAGAAATGCTTGAAAAACCTGCGCTGAAAGGCGATTTTTAATTTGGTTTATACAGCAGACTGTCAGGTTGCAATGTGCTGTAGTGTTGTATACTGTCTAAGCTACTGCATTTCTACCTCCGCTGAGTTAGCCTTGTTTAGACTTTCCATCAATGCTGCCGCATGCTGCAGTGGATTTATTCTGACGCTGATTGCAACAGACAGAAAATCCAAACATAAACGGCGCACACAGCTACCTGCACACATGGAAACGTCCAAACACTTAAGTAAGAACTACAGTTCTCAGAGAGTCCCCGGAGACCTGACGATGTGTCAACACGTCTTTCCATCAAGTGCTGTGTTACTGCCAAGCTTCAGAGTAATAAACCCAGCCTGCCTGATGGCACGCATTAAATTCACACTCCCGAAGGGTGACCAAAGCCCTGACCTGAGCTATTCTAAGACGAGCCTCGAGACAGTTGGTTGTGCTTCAGAGACGTTTCCAACATGTTAGCCTTCGCTAGCGCTAGGGGCACGAGGAGATGAAGGAGGAGAGGAAGAAGGAGGGTATATGAGAGAGGGGAGGGAGCATTGATTTACTTTCTTGAACTTGAAAAGCCAAAGGGAATGGGAGATTGTGCCGTGAATGTCACTGGACATAAAGTGTTCACTTCTGAGCATCTGAGAAATTGGTTTTTCAACAGACTTTTGAGATATTCTGCAGTGTGTGTGTGTGTAATATATTAATTTATTTGTGAATCTTTAGATCTTGAGAACACAGCACACTGGAGGGCAAATAATTATTTGTTATATCAAGATGAGGTTAGAGGTTACAGAGTGGCAAGAAGCAGTGATTCAAAAATGCTAAATATGAGCGCTGTTGTTTAGATTTATGTACTATCATCTGTTTTAACCATTTTCTACTTCAGTTATATTTAAGAGCATGTGCACATATTTTTTACCTTTCCACTCACTGAAGACCATCAGGGTAAAGCATTTGAGCTAAAACTAAAAAAAAACTGGGGTAATTTTGATTGAGGGCTTTAAATGTGATTGATACTGTAGTGTGTTAAACTCAGTTTTGGCTTGTTTGGAAAATTGTACACATCACAAGAGCCTCGTTGTGCTGCCCTTTGGTTGTTTCTTGTCTCTGCCTGCTGCTGTGAAGCAGGGCTAATTTTGAAGTTGTCAAGCAGACGCCAAGTGGAATAATTGTGTTATAATGACTAAATGTTCTTTCGTTTTGTTTTGTTTTGATGTCTGCCTCTCTATCAGCCCGATGTGGACTCGAGGGTAAATGGATTGTCCTCCCCCATTGTGCAAGATCGAGGGCCACTTACTGAAAACTCAGGTGAGACACTCAAGCTGAAAAAGGCTTAATGTACTGTTGTTTATTTAAATAGGAAGATATCAGTCCATTGCTCACAACAGAGAAAAAATATTTGCTTTTCTGCAAAAAGTGTTCCTCGATGTGGTGCAGTATTAAAGTGTGAGTGCGTGTGGTAACTGAAAATCAACCTCTCTGTGCTTTGCGTGCATGTGTGTTCAGATGAGCTGTTGGACTCCCACAACAGCAGCTCTGACCTGGCAGATGTAATGGAGCAGATTAACAACTCCTTCCCTGCATGCAGTCGTAAGTTTCCCAATCCTCCTCCTCGAATTTCCCACCGTGTCTTCCCAGCCTCCTGCAGCAGATTTTTTTTGTCACACCATAATGTCGTAGGTCAGCAGAGGAAAAAGTACAGTCTGTTTAACCGGAAAAGCCCTTCACAGAAAAACTGATGTCGCATGTGCAAGATACAGTGCTGTGATCATTTCTTACTTTTTTACATATTTGTCACACTTAAATCTTTCAGAT